ACCAAACCTCCGAAGAGGAACACTGTCTTTCAGTCTGGAGGATTCGCTTTCGCTGAAATCTACAGTCATATCGTTAAGTCTTTGATCACGAACGGTCACAATCAGCGACGTCTCCGCTAGAACTCGACTCACCAGCAATCATCGGTGTTTCTATATACCCCGGAACTATCGCATTGGACCGAATTACAACGCCTCGGAGGGAATTGGCAGCTTCCACAGCCAACGAGCGCGTCAGTCCAAGGATGCCAGCCTTGGATGCAGCATATGGTACCGCGCCCGTGCCTCCCTTGACAGCAAGCAGGGAAGAAATGTTAATAATGCATTTTGAGGGGACTCGTATTTCAGAGGTGCTGGAGGTGTCGCGATTCTTCATCCGACTGCGGATCGAAGCACGCACAAGAGCTCGCGACGTTAGCATTGCGCCCTCGAGATTCGTGCGAAGGACTCGGGAAATATCGTCCGGTTCAAGTTTGGCGAGGATGTTCGAGACGGAGATGCCTGCCGCGTTGACGAGGATGTCTACCGGTTGCTGTTCGGATTCGTTAGATATATCACCAGAGACTGGGCGGGAGAGCTAACCATTGCCTTCTCCAAATCGCGCAGCCAGGTCCCGGCCAGTGATACATCACCGACGAGGAGACTGACTCGACCCGAGGAGTCGAGAATTGTACCATCCGCCTTTGCCTCTATATCTTTGTTTTGTGATTGTTGATCTGTTTCTGGGGCTTTAGTTGCTACTTCGCGAATGATATTATCACCGCGTGAGTCGACGGCAGCGAAAGCGTTCCCAGATGTAGACGCCTCTAATTTGGAAGCAGCGTTGACAAGCCGTTCATGGGATCTGCCAACGAGGATGATGCGCTTGGCGCCTTCTTGGAGGAACCGCTCTGCAATGGCGAACCCAATGCCGGATGAGCCGCCTGTGATCATACATGTTCGACCAGATAATCGGTCCGAAGACCTGAAAGGACTACTGCGAGTCCTGTTTGCCGTAGACGATGAGCACCGGATAAGTCGCCTTGATATTAAAGTAGCTATTTCGGGAAAATATGCATGAAGCTTGGTCTTAGCTCGACAAGCAGGCTGTGCTTCAGTGTATAATGTGGACCATGATGTCGACGCTGCCGCGCCGCGGAAGCAGGAACGCAAAATATGCGTATGGTACATGGGCTGGGTCGGTAATGGTCTTTTCGTCAAGGCAATGAAGGATCTTTCTTCAATGCTTTAATTTATGATGAATCCAACCTGTTTTCTCCCTGGACCACCGAGTGAGCTGTTGGACTGTTTATTGGCCAGGACAAAATCGGTTCAATTTGCAGGACTGGATTCACATCAACTTCCCAATCAGCTTGATTGATAATACAAGCATAAGTCCAAGTTTTAGGGATTGGAGCTTTCTATAGCGTATCCTCCAAATTATCCGTCCAAGTACTGGATTGTGGTCCATTGAGGGTGAGATCACATTGTTATCGGAACAGCTTCAGCACGGACCAGCCGGGAAGACAAATCGAGACCATCTTTTCCCCCAGTCATCCTTTCTTACAACTGCAATCACTCTCATCCCTCCAAAATGGCTTCTTCATCGTCTACACCCTCCGAGTATGTGACATTGGTATCAGGCGACGGATTCGAGTTCATCATCCCCCGGAGTACAGCCTGCGTGTCTGGAACAATACGACGCATGCTGGAACCTTCTAGTAAGACAGATCGATTCAGTTCTCTTAACGCCCGGGAACAGACACTGACATGCTCTCCACTATGTTGTAGGTAAATTCTCCGAGGCAATAACAGGTCGCTGCGTACTCGAAAATCTCAGCGGGGTCGTTCTTGAGAAAGTATGCGAGTACTTCTGTTACAACGAGAAGAATAAGAATCAGACCAATGTGCCCGATATGGATATCCCTCCAGAGCTGTGCTTAGAGTTGTTGATGGCGGCTGATTATCTGGATACTTGAGGTGTGAGTTGTATGTCTACGGTCTTTTGAACTGTTTCTCTTCTACATGTTGACTGACAGGTTCTAGTTGCATTTCTTTCACGATTCATGAGGCAACGACTTCTGCAATGCAAGGATCAGGACTGTTTCAACAACCGGAGTTGGTGGCTAGGTATCTTTCATAGAAATAAACCTTTGTTTGGTTCGGGATAGGTGTCCTTCGCGCATACGAAAAGAACACCTTTGTCTATTAAGCGGCCTGTCGGCAGAGGCAGCCTTGTGCTCCTCCGCCCCATATCATTGGGCATCCGCTCTAGAGTTTGGGACTCGCCCAACGACTTAGCCATCAGAGCATCCCGTCCGGTCCTAGGTCAATGGCCGGACGATCTAAAGACGGTGGCAGAGCAGTCATGTCCCTTTTATTCAGTCCTCGTCCATTTTCCATGGATATGAGGGCTTTATTCCAGGGGAAACATGCTCCTTCAATATCCGTGATCCAGGGTGGTTGTTGGCGCAGGTGACAGTGTCTGGTCATCGCCCCTTGGGTTTAGGTTTCGGTTTCGATTTCGAAAATCCTCCTAATTTATTTCCTTGAGCAGTGCCTCTGTTCTCGTATAGCTTTTCCTTTCCAAACGCGGCATCTGCAACTCGCAGGTAACTCACGACACCTTGGTCTATAACGGCGAGAATGACGTTTCGATACCCTTGCCGTAGCCGCATATAGAGCTGTCTGTCCATTTTCTCGCCTCGCGGCGGAGCTAGTGGTGTGCTTTCGAGCAAAGCGCCCAGCTGTGAGAGTGTGGGCATAGAATGAGTGCGGGAGTCGATGACAGCAATCCTGAAATCGGGAGCGGGAGGGGCAGACTTGCGGAAGGGCGTTGAAGGTTTATAGACGTGGAAGACAACCCGGAAGGGAGCTTCCGTTCGTGGAGTTGGAGAATGGGGGACTGTAGGATCATGCCAGGGTATAATGGAAAGCTTGCGGTAGATATCACCTGGAAAATTAGATTAGTTGGCTTGCGCTTCAGGGCTTCTTCCATGGCCAACTCACTATAGCTGCGATGAATTCCAACACCAACAAGGGGTATTGTCGCGGTCGTAAGACTTGGAGTCTGAAGCCATTTCATGAACCGCTCATACACCCCTGCTAGACCTGCACCAACCCGAACCGGTTCCTCTGTCTCTGAATCGACACCCGATTTCTCCGTATCGTCATACCATCCAGGCGCCCGAGTAAGCGTATAACCCAGCCGCTTCAATCCCGTATAAACCGTAAACCTATCGATGGTCAACCCACCGTGCCCAATAAAACACGCATACGCCGCCTGCAAGCTCATTGGGATCCCCGAGTCGCCCGCATCCCCAGTATCACCACACCCCGTCGCGGAAACAGGCCACCGAATCTCCAGACTCCCTCTTTCAAGTAGGTACAGCGCCTCCTCAGGAAGCAACCACACCCTGTTCCACCGATCTCCCTGACCCATCGTTTTGAAAAACTGGCCCTTAGGATTGGCCACGTACACACACGCGTCCGGATGAATGCCCAGCTTCGTCACCGCAGCTTTTCCCGGTTTCAACTCGGTGTTCTGCGTTTCGCCTTCCGGGAAGGGCGCTATCGAAGGCGGCGCGGGTCCGTCTGGCGCGTATACACCTACAATCCTGTGTTTTGGGTGGTGGAGTCGAGGGTACGAGAGGGCATTGTGCATAGCCCTGCGTGAGGCGGCGAGGACATCAGCTTGGAATTCTGTCGGGTTGGGCTCAAAGTCTTTCTCTCCTCGTTTGGGTAGGCTAGACTGTGATGGATCTGCAAGGCTATGGTGCATTGATTTAGTAACTGGGCTGGACATTGAAGGGCTAACTGGCTCGCGAAGCAATACTGACAAGGAAAGGTGGTTTAGCATGCGGAAGTCTTGTGTTTCGTCCGACAGATCGGTCTCGATATGAGTGGAAGTGTCGTTTGAGGGCATACGAGCGACATCTTCGTCCATGTCTGCCATTTTCAGTGCAAATGAAGCTCTTGGCTCCCAGGTGAGGGTGTTGTGCACGAATGATGGTGAGAGCTGATATCTATCTCCGATAAAAAAATCTCGGTGGTCCAAGCTTATCAGTTCCACTTGTGACTACAAATCGCGGGGAAGCCGTCGATTGATAATATTTTACGGATACGGAGCTTCATGTGCATCTCCCTTAAAAGGTAGAATTCTGATATGCCATGGATTCCGCTATTACAGATTATAACGAAATCCTTGATCAGGTATATCTCAAACACATAATCAATCAGGCATCTCCTAACCTCAGCCAGATCCACACAAACCTCACAAACGCTCTCAACACATTCGGTGCCTCCTCCCAACAGTATCAGAATATATTGAAGATACTAAAGGAGTGCATGCATGACATCGAGAACGATAAAATAAAGATGTCCACCGCTCTCGACCCAGATATCCTGAGCTTGGCGATGAAGTTCTTAGAGCTTGGGAGATGATCTACTATTCTCGATGCTTCAGGTCGACCCTGAATGCGGATCTCCGTTCATCATGAACAACCTGGTATCTCTCCAGTTCCGCGACTTGCGACAGATGGATGAGTCCAGCGGGTCAGTCTGCATGAAAGGAACGTTCGACCAAAGCCAGTGGTTTCCTGAAGGTCGCCATCGGAGCCGAGTGAAATTGATGACCCAAGTGATATTCAGTCATTCCGGCATCATAGATCTTACATATTATATTGAACTATATGGTGAGAGGACCATATGAGAAAAGCGAGTGGCCCACCGGCGACGACCCCCAAGATATAAGCAAGGCCGACCAAACACCTCGTTTTCCCCGCCCTAACAAACCGCAAAACGGAAAGGCTACCCTGAATGACATGCAACAAGACAAACTCCAAACCCATGCATTCGTAAAACATGACCATGCTTTGCTTCTAAAGCAGGGCGTACCGCCGTGGTTGGGAACTTCCGCTCTCTCATAGGTGGTTGGCGGTTGAGGTAGTAGAGGACTTCTAAGTAGACCACAGATATTCTGGTCTAGTTCGAGAATGGTTCGGTTTCAAAAACAGAGCCATTTCTCAATCGATTAGTGGCTTCTTCTGGTTTCCAACGATTGCCACTCCGAGATGTCGCAGGGCATTGGGATCATTGGGCCGTACAATAGACGGGAGAGGTAACATAGGGTTATCTGGGTTCACATGGACTGCATCTCGAGCAGCTTGCTCAATGGCTTCCATTTCTTCTTTGCACCCCGCATGGTCGAGAGGACAAACGACGATTGGCTGTCGAATCGCAATGTCTCGTGCAGACGTCAAATGCGCCTATACTTGGATTAGTCTGGTTTCGAGAATTGCCCTGAGTTGGCTAGAATACAAACCTTGACTGTTAAATAGTACTCGATCTTGTAGAGACTTGCTGTAGTAGTGAAACCGCTTACAGCATACGTTGGAAAAGCTGCTTTACCTCTAGGAAGAATTCCCTCTGCGTCTCGCAGATCCTTTGCTGGGAATACTAAGCCCAAGTTTGTCAAGAAGCCGGTAGGCGGCAACTTCACGCCAATTGGTTCTGTTCGTTTGGCCAGCGTTTTGACCTTGCGCTGTGGTTCATCGCCCTCGTGGTTGTAGATGATCTCCTCATCGATACCAATTGTAATCTTGTTGATTGTGACTTTCCTTGCTTTGGCCATCCAGTCCGGATTCGGTGATAGCTTGACGTAGACGCTGACGGGGTCGAGAGGGCCGTAAGACCATCGTGGTAACGAGATTCCTAGAGTCACCAAGTGATCTGTCACCCGTTCCGCCGACTCAGGGCGGTTGTACATTCCAAACGTGGATAGTGTGTCGTATCGTGAGATCGGTACTGGAAATGCATACTTCCTTTGTTCCGATTGGCCCTGTTGGACCGTCACGACAATTTCGTAGTATGTCTCCGCAGTGCGACTGGGGAGTTGCAGGCTGGCCGGAGGAACGCGTCTTGAAGAGTCCGATCCACCACGTCCGAACGGGATGAAGAGGACAAAAGGCAAATCCATGGATATCACTTCCTCATATTCTCGACCGGCCGGACAGCGAAAAAGCAGCATCTCCTTGCCGACAATATCAGTTAATTCCTTCCTAGGGGGCGCAAGATGCTTCTTGGTCACGGAGTCTGCTGACGGGTGTATTGTCTCGCGGCGATGGAGGGATACTGTCACGAGGGATACATTGACGGGTGCGGTGATGCCAACGCTGGGTCTGATTTCGACTTTACCTTCAATTCGCGGCTGCATCAAAACGTTAATCTCTCACTGTTTCACACCCAGTCTGGCTAGCGCTTACCATAGTCGCAGAGATACCAGGGTAGCCGATCAGAAAATTACCGTTCGGCGGGCCTGACACTCGCACGAAGGCGGCCATAGTGAGAGGGCTGTACCCGCACCACCATGGGCACGCGGCGGTTGGAAGGGATGCGCTCCGAGATTGTTGCGGAGATTATGCGACTCGAGGGACGTTGTTAACTGCTGATAAATCATAGAGACCACGGACGATCAGGCTGTCCCGCTTAATCGCATCTGCGCCAAGGGTCTTACAATGACGCAGGTGCACTGAACGGATGTGGCTCTAGGAGGTGCAGTCACGGATTCAAGAGTAGGCGGTAAAAGCTGCTCGTCGATAGGGATGTGCCGTGTGCACCTTCGGTATGGAGATGATGAGACAATCGCAAAGGGACGGATAGTTGTACTTTTTCAGCGATGATGAAGTTGAGTGGCTGTAGAGGTTGTAGAGGCGGTTTGTTTATTGGCGCCGATGTGGGGGAGAGTGATGGGGAGCATTTGGAGCGGCTAAGTCCAGGACTTCTGCTATTCTCTCGAACTCGACAGAACTGCCCCAGGCCTCGCTTCACTACAATTCGCGAACGATCGGCACCCAACACGAGGGCTAGATTATGACATGACCTTACCTCTCAGGGGTATTGGATGGTTATCTTTCAGCCTCAGACTCGACTCGGGGAAAACACTTTCCTCTTTGACTATGTACCTGTTATTGTTGATTGATTTTCCCTTTGTCTAGAGTTATGGAACGGGGAACCCTGGAACTCACCGAGAACTCAAACTGAGCCTCAAACAATTTAATCATCCTACTACTAACCGCTACAGACAGTTTCCTTACAGCTCCGCCAGGAATTAAGACTATTCAGATACCCCAGCAATTGTTCGCTGTCCATGCCGCTCCTCGTCCAACAGGGTACCTATTCAGCGGTCTACGTCATAGCCTTGTTGGATACCAACTCCACAGGTATCAGCTAGACACGATCTGACAGCACCGACATGACATTCAGCCCCCAGCGCTGCTTCTTCTACTTGGGACACTCGACGTCAGCTCCAGATATTCTGATGGCTGGAGAATCCTTATCTACGTACTGCAGCAGATCAGCCCACCGTTAGCGACGACGGCTGCACGCCGGGAGAAGATTTGGTCAATAACTGCATTGATATCAACTTGTGTGCCGTGAGTATGAGAATATATCTTGGTATGCTTACATCTCCGACAGCACCGAATATGCGCCTAACGCGACCACTCAACGTGAGCTTTTAACTTGCTTTCGCTTTTGTATTATAAATAATGAAAGAAACAAGGGGATGACAGATGAATTTTTGGCGCCGAGTGTCTTACGTTTGATCCCGGAGCTATTTGTAGTGGCAGGTTTGTCTAAGGCCTGGAGATAAGGTACCTGCATTGAAGAACTGATTTAGGGCTTTTCTTTTAAACATATTGCCAGAGATCTGTGTTCCTAAACCAAATTGTTGACTGATGACCATTTGTACCCCAAACTTATCCTCAGTTGCATATATACTTTATATTCTCAGTGCCCCATAGATATTGAAGTATGTACCTCCACCAGCGGTTGATGGTTGGTTGACAGTTGACGGTTCGGTTGCCATGTGCAACGCCCACCATGACATCGCTTTCTCCACATCCACCAGAACCAGATCTCACAATCTGCAAGCTGCAACAACCTATCTGCCTTGAACGGCCTATTCCGATACAAAAATTACTTTCATATCCCGGAATCTATTGAATATGCCCACCACTCGTCGCCGCGGAGGCAACACTGCCGCCTCCCGCTCAGGTCAGTCGACGCTTTCATTCGGCGGGAAGTCCAGAGTCACCAAGCCATCGGCCACGTCGACACGATCTCAGAAGATCAAAGACCTCGAACCAATCTCAGCTGCTGTCACCTCGACCGAAGAGGTCCCAGATCCGGATCAAGCGCCCGTCCTTCCCTCTGAGCCGTCACAGCCGCACGTTGCGGAGCTCGCCGTCAGACAGCAAGCCCGGGAGGAGATCCAGCAACCGCTGTGCGAGGAGGATAAGAAGGCGATCAAGATCACAGAACAGGAGCTGCAGCGGTATTGGAAGAAGGAAGAGCAGACAAGGAAGGCGCCTCGAGGTGGGTTTTCAGATTGTGATGTTAATAACCTGTTTGCCGAGGGAAAAGATATGCTTACGATACTCCTCATGAGCAGTCCACCAGGAAGATCTATCATTACACGAGAAGATACTGAGACATTTTGACCTGTCTAGTCAGTATGGGGTATGTCTATTATGTTTTACTCCTGCCGCTTTCCGCGCTGAGAGCTTCTCTAACATGATATAGCCATGCATCGGAATTGCTCGGCTAAAGCGCTGGAGACGAGCGAAGATGCTGAATCTCAATCCTCCTATCGAAGTCCTTGCTATCTTGCTGAAGGAGAAGGACACAGTGAAGCAGAGAGCTTATGTCGACGAGTTGATGTCTTGAGGATCTTTCTATGAATGTTTGTCACTTACGACATGATCTGGGAGGTTAATGAGGTGCTGGATCGGCGTTGGGTTTCTAATTTCAAGCAGGGCGTTCGGTCTACTATGCAGATCATACATCGATAGGAATCAATTAATGACGTGGATTCTCTTAGATTCTTTCTACTGCTGAATTACTCGGTTTGATGACATTGCTAAGCCTAAGTCGACTGATTGCACCTAGTAACAAGGTACTTCAACCATATAGTCAGGTCATTTGGCTCGAAATCCATTCGTAGGAAACTCCAATGACAACGTATCTTCGAGTCTTCCTGTTGTAACACTAGAAGCTGTTGAAGACATCGAACAAACTCGGCTCTTTTTCTCTCTACGCCTGTATCCGATCCGTCGTCGACCCCCTTTTAATTTTAATCTGAGCTGACGGGAAGAAATAGCTTATTGTTACTCAGAGTACGCACGTAGCAACACTCTCGCCTGAGGTCAGGTTGTGCACTGGCTTCCAAGAAGTGATCGGCAGCGCAGAGTACAAATGCATAGTTTCGACCAGGTCAGGGATAAAGCCTATTTGTTTTCCGTCTGTCTCGTGGAGTATCATAATGATGCAAACGAAGCCTGTTTAGCTGTTCCTTCCAAAGCTTTTCTTGAGTCCACTCTGGTGATGAAAGTTGCTCACTTTGCACAATAATTTTTACTCACTGTTGACCTTAGCCAGCTTAGTCTGACCATGAAGTCCACCGTGGGGAGCTCTGCCAGGTATCACGTACTTTTAGACTCTTGTGTCCATCAATTTGTTCGATCTGACATGGACTTGAGACATTAATAGTTAATGCTTGAATATAAAGTGTTTTGGTGTCTCAAGAGTAGATCATCTGGGGTCTCCCCCGCATTTGAGCTGTTCAATCTCCTGTACATAGTATCAAACTTGACTTTTTGGCTGAAGTCTATCCCTCCCATTTGTGGGATGGATCACTTCAGACGACGGGCTGGTAATTCATGCAATGCTACCCCACCCTGGATATCTGGTTTCTTGCTTTCCTATCCCTGTGAACCTTCGGTGGCATTCTTCTCCTGGCCAGGATCTGTCCATGCATTGTTCCCGGAATCTTGCCCCAGTAAATGCTTCCAATTCATGGGTGGCCTGAACACCCTCTGCTATACTTGATGCTTATGTTAGAAGGTGAGGAGTTCTCGAACTATCCTGCTGCGTTGCCTGAGAGGGTCACCTTCCTTACACTCAACAGCGTACAGTAATGTAACACATCTCGGACTTATAACTCATCGGAGTCATTGAGGGGACGGTGTCCTCGAACGCCTGCGAGTTACACAAGCTTTCCGCAAACATGACTCAGTGGCGACGAATGATAAGATGAAGTTTGACATGCATACGTCAAGTTTGGCTGGGATCAACTGGCTCTGGACGTGTCGATCACTTCATGACCCCAAAAGTTTCAAGACTGAAATGCAGCATGTGATGCAGCTGTCCAGGGTCTGGTGCAACAGTCCTGGCTTGGACTACGGTATATAACACGCTTCCGTCCCCTGGAATGTACAATGGCGTTCATTCAAAGGTCTTACACTCGTTCAGTATCTTGTCATTTATACTGTCGTTTCTGAATTGGTCTTTTTTTGTCCAATCTTGTGCTCTGAATTACTTCGAGCTCTTCATATCCAATATGCACTTCTCTCGTGCTTCCATCGCCCTTCTAGCTGCTGGCCTTGTCGGTGCGCAACTACCGGATATCCCAGGCTGTTCTGTAAGGGTACCAGTAAGAAACATGACCACCGAGGCTAACCTTTTATAATCAGCTGAGCTGCTTCGTCTCTGCCCTCTCCGCTGATGGGTGCTCATCCTTAACCGATTTTGCGTGCCACTGTCAGAAGCCTGAACTTGTTTCGAATATCACGCCTTGTGTGCAGAGCTCCTGCAACGTTGCCGATCAGTCTTGTAAGTCTGCCTCAGATTAAAAATATCCATCGAGACAACTGCTGACAATCTTTACAGCTGTCTCCAGTGCCGTCGTTTCCCAGTGCTCTGCCGCCGGTCATCCAATATCTGTGCCCCCTGTCGGCGCTGCCAGCACCACAGCTTCGGAGACAACCACTACTACGGAGTCGTCGACCCAGACTGAGACCACCACTAACACCTCATCCACTGGCTCTTCTATCTCCTCGTCGGCAGTCTCTTCAACCCCCTCGTCCTCCTCGGCCTCGAGCTCACACCATCAATCCTCTAGCTCTGCCTCGGCCACTCGCACCGTGACGAGCTCAGGATCAAGCTCTGCATCTACCAGCGCCAGTGCTTCTGCAACTACCACCCTGTCCAACAACGCTGGTTCCGACAAGGCCAATGTGGCGGGTGTTGCTGCCGTGGCGGCCGCTGCTCTCTACCTGCTGTAGGTGAGCCAAGGATGTGGACGACGTGGATGGGATTTAAGCCGGGCCATTATGTAGGAATGCATGCGAATGTATATCTATACTTAATAGTGTTGCATTATTCTTACTGCGTTGAGTTTCTGGTATTTTGTACTTATTGCCTGCTAAGGGCATAGGGCCCTGACAAAAATTCTTCAATAACGACGCTCTTTACAGGAAAATAATATCAGACGTTGTTGGATCCTACCTACAAAATGTGCTGCTGTCATAAGTGCCTATAGAGCGGATTGGCTAAGACCGCTCACTACAATATGTCAATTCCCCGACTCAACCTTGAGAGACTTCTTAACTAAGACTGAAGATTAATCTTAACGACGACTACTGCTTCTGAGCTCAAGAATAAGCAGGTCGAAAATCTCAGGGGAGAATCGATAATCAGCAACATCACATGTTGCCCTTGCCCTAAGAACACCCAACCCAACTACATAAAATTGATCAGCACCAAACTCCGCTGGAATAGTAGTCCTTGTCTGATCTCAAGCGTAATGACCCCTCTGCGACGCCTTCAGAACATAAGGAACAACATACAAACCCTCGAATTCCTGCGACAGTTGGTTGTAATCAATCTAACCAAGCCTGGTCTACGCTGAAGACCAGTTGATGCACGGCCGGGTTTGACGTTGATATCAGAGCTACTATCTAGGTTTGCAGCTTAAAGCAACGCAGCTACTATACTTCATGGTAAAAACACTAGACTGTCAATTAGTTGCGCTTCAGAGCGGAAGTAATCCAATGTCAGTACGCTATATTAGTTCAAACCCCACAATGGACGCCACTTGTGATAGGATACAGACGCAAATAATGCAAAAGATGAACCCTATGGTACCCATAGCCTTACAAACCCTCCAACCTCCTGGCGACAGGTCACGCAGCTGCCGAAATTGTTCATCGCAAGGCTCACTCTGCATTCCTCGCATACGCAAAGGCATCGACAAGGCCATGTTATGATCGAACGTGGGTTGGTCTGGCAGATGACACACGGTGGACCGTCCGGTCCAAGGCCGGAGGCGCCAGACTCCCACGTCTGCGCCTCAGGACCTGCACGGTTGGCTTCAGATCGACGAGCCAGGATGAAGTTCTCGAGCATCTCAGACTCTTCCTCCGGAGTTGGTTTGCGGTTCTCCTTACCCGTCTGCTGGCCAGCAAGCCGTGAGAATCGGGAGGATAGAAGAACCTGCGCTCTTTCGCGCTCCATCTTTTGGTGGAATTGACGTCGCGTCATAATGCGCCCATCTCGCCCAGCAGCCAGATGGGCAGCTAGGATACGTGCCTCATGTCTGCTTTCTTGGTCACGAGGGTCGAGGAGGCGTGCAAAAGAGCCAACATCCATCAGCGACTCGTCAATAGGGCTGCTCTCCCGCGAAAGACCTTCTGGGTATGGGTTGCGAGGGGTAGGTGTACGTCGACCATCAGACTCGTCTTCCCACTCTGATTCAGCATTTGTTGACATAGATACAACGCTGGTGGTATCGAAAAGATCGTCGCTGTCAGCGGGTACATAGTCGGGACTTTGATCCTGGTTACCCCACGAGCCGCCGGCTCTCCACCAACCATAGAGCTTCTCATCGAGGCGCTTCTCGTCAGACTCCTCCCAACGCGGTGCAATGGAAAGCTCCCTCTTTCGCATTTCCTTCTCTACATCAAACTCATAGTCTCCAGGAAGCTCAAGTTCGCCCTCATCCGTCAGAATCCAGAAATCCAGCGATTCTGCCCGACTGCTACTATTTCTATCTTGCAGGGCTCTTCTGCGCGACCCGACTAGAATCTTCAGCCATTGTGGTCGCGCACTGATGCCGATTCGGCCTAGCACTCTGTCGAATCCATAGGCGCTCCACTTGAGTATGAGATAGAAAATGCCGCGGAAGAAAGAGAAGCCATGATAGCATCTGGTCGCGCCTCTAAATGCACCAACACCACCAGGGTCAGTTTGAGATCGTACGGACCGTGATCCGCCTTTAGGTTTCTCGATCTGCTTCTCCTTCCCGTACCCACTTTCCCATTCTGCCGATGGTTCCGAAATATCGAAGGTTATCGGTTCAACACCTGTAAATGGTACGTCCCCGTCGTAGGCCCTTGAACTGTGCTGGAAAGAGCGTGAACGTCGCGACTTTTCGATCTCTGCCAGTCTATCCTCCTCCAACCAGGTCATCCGACGTGCAACGACCGCTTTCCCTTCATTTAAAAAAACTGCTTCACTAGCAGCGGTTAAAGCAGTGTACCCAATCCGGAGTAACGTGGTGTAGAAATCCTCATGCCGGTTGAAGCGGATATTCCGAATCTGGTTCGCTCCTTGCATGTTTTCGTGGGCGAGTGAAAATCGTTCGCGAAGTGAAAGCGGCTGCCCAGCGTCCAGTGGTAATGAGAAAGCCGTGACCATGAGTGCGATAACATAAATAATCGCGCAAATGACAATGCCGAGTAATATTAATAGGTGAGGCACAAAGTCTACAATGCAGACCGTGGGAAACTTCAGTACTCCAGTGTCGCTTCCCGTCGGTGAGCCAGCCAATAGACCCCATACCATAGCAGACATAAAGCAAAGACCCCAGAAAGTGGTATTGAATAGGCGATACCGGCTTTGTTGACCGAGCACATCCAAAATGTTGGATGTCAAGCTGTTGCAACAAGAGATCAAAGCAATTAAGAGCAGCTCAGGAGTAACGTTCATTCGTTCCAAGAGCTGCGCTCTACTAAGCAGCTGGAGAGCTGAATGGGCGGACTCGCTGGACGATAACGAGCTGTCCTTGCTGCTGGTGTGCTTGGGAAGCCCAAATAACCCGAGCCCAATGGACTGGCTTATCATTGACTCCGCCTCGGCGAAGGCAAGAGAATGCTCAAAAATAGACATGCCAGCCTCAGTCACGACTGCCCTTCCCTGCAAAGCGCAAGAGAGGGTCTCGACAAAGTGGCTGAGGCAGAGCCGCAAGAAAACAGGCCACAAGAAAACGAAAGAGCCGTAAGGAACATCCGATTCGTTGACGGGCCGACCCATCTTCACCGCGCTGCAAGATTGTTGATCGGACTCCCATGACAAAAATGTGGAGCTGAGAGAATAGAGAAACCCGCCTCCACCAGCATGATCAAGCGATAACCGTTTCCCGTGACTACCGTAACGGATGAGGGGGTAATCGGGAGATGTTTGACACCGTATAGCACGAAGTAAGACGAGGATCTGAGAGATGAACAACACAATGGGAATGATTCGCAGCGCCATGCGTCGGTGAAAGTCTAGGGTGAGATGTCGTCTGGTCGAAGCATAGATCGTGATTCGATTCAAAATTAGACCCTTGAAGTGTGTCAGGATATTTCAGGTCCGTCTCAGGTGCTTATTCCTTACCACTGTAAAACAAGCCAAGGACCACCGACTGGTCAGATATGAAAAGAACCCACTAAATCTCCTCATTGCTTGGAGAAATTCTGCCAAGTAAACGCCTGATTCCGTCTGTGCGGCGGCATCGGCCATCCCCTCTCCTGCTGCTCTAGCTACCGCCTGTGTTGCTGCTACCACCGCATCGGCCTCCGATCCTGTTACAGGGGCATGACCTGAGATCCGTGTCGCCATATCAGGTAGCCCCACTAACCTCGAGAGTTGTCGCGGAAGAGTTGAAAACGCAAGGCGCTCCGCCTGACGCAGACCGCGCAATGGGAGAGTGAAGAGCTCGCGAGGCGACGAGAGCAGCGAATATTGGGCGGTGGTAATTGCCGTAGAGTTGACAGATTGCATGGCGGATGACGAAGCTGTGGCGGCTGGAGTCGCAAGGATGGTCGCGGTATCTTGAACGAACGACATATTTGTTTGTTCGGCCTCTGTCAAAAGGCAGACTCTGACCGATTGAGGAGGCGTTGTAAACCAGAAGAAGCCTCCCACCACTGGCCACTTGGAGAAGGTGAGATCATCCGTTCGCAATACAGAGAGACAAAGGGGTTATCTTCAACAAATCATAACAAAGGTCTCTGCTCATATAAGAGTCAGTCAAGGGGAGACGACGTTGAGATACATTGTACCAGCAGAGTGGCTGATGTGAAGTGATTTTGATGGACAGGTAGTGAGGACGATGACCTCGTCCCAGTTGACATGTAGATACCGTGATCTCTCCACGTTATTAGCTTATCGTTGTGATGTCCTTCCCCGAAGTCCCGGCCGGGACACTAACCGGATGCAGTAGTACCGACAGTCCCGCACACGTGCCTCGGCCAGTTGTTGTACTTGAGGGCTTTTAAGAACATTTGACTGTCACTATGATTTTGATGATTAGACTACTTATGTTCAGACCGAAGAATGGGTGCTTATAGTGCTTTCCGAAAAATCGGGCTCAGTGCCGTGCCAGGATCCTCCTTAAATTAGCGCCTACGATGATATTTACAGGACTATAATACCTCTACGCCAAAAAGGCGTCCAGACGAAGGACTCATCAGTCTAGCTAACAATAGAGGAAGGGTGGTTTGCGTTGAGGATACTCATTCATTCATATCAAGTTGTTGTCCGTCATGACAGAAGGCCATAAGAGATAAATTACGGAGCTCTATCACAACTTGTACATCTCGCTGCGACTCCGTACGCCATCGAAAATGCATGTGTTGTCCAGCGGCACATACTGCCTTGTGATCACCTTCAGTGCTTCCTGCGCCACTAGCCCGCCTGTGAGAGCAGATATGTTATGTAGCTCTCCACCTTGCGTGCGTCTCAGCTCCTGCGTAGCTTCCAAGATCTTCTCCCGTGCTTCTTCGTCAATAGCAGCAGGATTTCCGGAGGTAAGATTACTGATAACTCGTTGAATATGGGTATTCCACAGAGTCTCGTCATCAAGAGATACATCAGCAATATTGGATTCCTGAATGTAGGTCACGATGTCATCCAGAATTTGACAGGCGATGAAAATCGGAACAAGAGTTTCTGAAGAGCTGAGGTTATTTGTGATCGTTTTCAGAGTGTGCGCGTCCTCGTTGATGCGAGGGATATCACGGCCATGAATAACCTTGATATGAGCAGCGTTCTTGCAGAATACCTCGATGTCTTTCTCTGGAATGACGGCCGGCCGCGGCCCCAACTGAGCTTCGAGCCTTCTGACTGTTGTTGTTATTTCTTCCACGTCCGTTCTTGCTTTCGATTTGTAGATGTTTTGAAGAGAGACATAGTCTGCCGATTGAGCTTTCATGTCAGGTAGCGAGCCCGGCAGAGGGAGCACCTTGTGCTTTTGGTAAAATTCGTGAACAGCCGCCGCAATGAGCCAGAATTCAGCGGAGTTCTGTTTGAGATTCCTGCACTGATCCATCTCGAAAATCTCACGGATCGAGCTGCGCAAGCTGAACGGATTCAATGATTTCAATACCGCAGCAACCGCCTCGTCATAGTTCTCTTCGCCTCCTTCGGCGTTATTCTTCCTGGCACTAGCCCGAACAAACTCCCTGAACTCTGATTTCTCCTTGTAATTTGAAGGCACGTTGCCGTCATGGGCTTGTTTCCACTTTTCGAGGTAGTGAAGCAGTAACAGTACGTACGGTACGTGGCCATGCTGGTGGTCGTCCATACTGTCCAGGGTGCTAATGCTGGCGCCAGCTGCTGCCAATTCTGGCCATGGATTAAGAAGACGAAGATCTTGTGTCGCTTCAGGATCCGGATGTGTCTCTACAATGGGGAATTCCGCTGGAAGCTGAAGGGAAAACACAGAGTAGAACCCGACAGAGTGCAAATATAGCACTGGGATATTCAGTGCCTTGGCAGCATTGCAAAGAGTATCTAAAGTAGATCGTTTCACAGGACCGGATATTAACACCAGCCTATGGTGGGCAAGAAAGTCTGGCTCCTGTTGCAAGACTTCTGCAATAGTCTAGTAATCTATGTTAGCGTTGTCAGTTCACAAAACTAAGTTAGAAGTGGAATCATATACCTTTGAACGAAAACTTCCTTCGACGTCTGGGTTCAACTCTCTCAACAGGCGGCAGGTTTCCTCAGCTCTGAATTTTCCCAGACTTTCGTCCTCGAGAAAAAAATTCACTCCCAGGTCAGGTTCTGTAACAACAGCAGGATCTACAATTGTGAAGCCACCAATACCGGGGAGCACAAGGTTCTTGAGGGTTTCGACCCCAGCCACGCCCGATACACCGGTGCCTTGATTTCCCCAGAAACCGTCAGAGTTGACTAATAAGACACGAGACTCTTCCAGAGCTTGCTGCCCGCTCGCAGCCCACAGACGTAGCTGGCGGTCATACTTCCTCTCTTTCGAAGATGGCCCTACCAGGGCACCAGGGAAAGTGTCGGTCATAATGCGTGGTTGATATAGTTCTTTGAGTTAGTCTTAGAATTCAGGTATCCTTCAAATTCAAGAAGGAAGAGTGGCAGCCGATATAAGAGCAAGATTGACGGCCCTATTCACTGAAGATTATAGCAATGCATCTGCTTGTCTTGATGGTTTTAGGCATGGCTGTGATGTCGTCACATGACCTGGAGCCAGATCGGCCCGTGTGATATGCTGGCCTGAGAGACCTGAGGCACCAGGGAATATAGGGCAGCGAAGGGCTAAAAGATGACGCCATAACCCCGCCGTCCAAAAGATTGTAGTACCTGACATCAACAAGTGCATTATCTATTCTGTGGTTCGCTCAATTGTAATATCGTGTCTCCTATTGAACAATTTCAATTGCCATGTCATGTCGGTGATTCTTCACCGATTGCACTCTCCTCTGTAAGTTCATTCGTTGTGGCCGTGTGGCTCGACGGAAAATTCTTTGGTTCTCAACTGGACTCCCCCACACCGGGGTTGGTCTCTGGCGATTGTATCGGGGCCATTTTGGCTCCAGCTGCGGGCCCTAGAAAACCTTCCTCTCGGGATGCATGAGCTGTCAGCTCTCAATCTAATTTGTCTATGCTCCATAGGACACGGCCCTTGTTCCTTTTCTCGTCGTTCATCTCGTCCCCTCGTCCCCGTCTTCTCTATCCCACCTTTTCCCCCATTCATCACCCTCCGACTCGTTTTCAGACCACAATGGCTAGCGCAATTGAGGCCGCAAAGCGCGCCGCCGGCAAGGCCGCCGTCGCCAACCACTACCCCAAAGATGCTAAATTTGTCGGTATCGGCAGCGGATCTACTATTGTATATGTTGTCGAGGCTATCAAAGAATCTGGCATCGATACCTCTATGACAAGATACGTTCCCACCGGCTTCCAGTCCAAACAGCTCATCCTTTCCGCCGGCTTGACAGCAGTCGAGTTTGATTCGCTACCCGAAGGAACCGTACTTGATGTCGCCTTTGACGGCGCAGACGAGGTCGACGATGAGCTCAACTTAATAAAGGGCGGCGGCGCCTGTCTTTTCCAGGAGAAAATTGTGGCTCTCCAGGCTAAGGAGTTCATCTGCGTGGCAGGTTAGCGATGACTCACGCTGTCCTGCGGCGGAAACCTATATGAAAGACAAAACATCACTAACACTCCCGTCCAGATTCGCGCAAACTCCAGTCTCGCCTTCTCTCCAATTGGAAATACATTCCAATTGAGGTAGCACCTATCGCGGCCCCTCGTGTCCTAACCAAGCTGCGAGAGCTTGGCAGCATTCAGCCCGCCATTCGGCTCAGCGGCACCTCCAAGGGACCCCTAAAGACGGACCAGGACTTCTACATCATTGACGCACCTTTCCCACCGTTGCTCACCAAGGCTGACGTTGCCGCTGGCAACGATGGGAGCGGTAAGGGAGGAATTTGGGATGTCGATACCCTGGCGCAGGCAATTAAGATGATTGCGGGTGTGCTGGAGGTTGGCATTTTCTCCGGCGTGACTGGACCTCAGGCTCAAGCCCTTGGAGGTATTGGAGGCCAGAAGCCCATCGCTGCTTACTTTGGCATGCCCGACGGCTCAGTATCGGTCAGGAAGGCCATTTCGTAGCCTTCTTCCCGCATGGTCATCCTGACATACTACGCACCGTGGATTACAACAAACAGGCGACTTGGATATATATGATACCATTGAAACTTCGTGCATGACTTCTTGCCGTCAAATTTCACGAGGCTGAAGATCAAGAATGGACAGCTTTGTTTTACTGTAATTATTACCCAGATTTAATTCCACACGCTAGTCATAAAAGTAAAGGCATTCTAATTATCATATAAATTATTTCGCACCCTTTCCTTTCGCCTCAGTCTCACCCAATTCGCGCACATAGATTCGGACAGTTCCCTCTGCGACATCGTCTTTTCCGTCTTCGAAACCAGGGCTAACGGCAATCGCCAAGTACTTTCCATTGCCGCTGAAATCGACAGCAGCAATGCTTGACGGGTATTTCTGATATTGCCTGATCCTCCTCTTCGCAATACCGTCCCAAAGTGCTACGACACCATCACCACCGCCAGACGCGAATGTTCCATGAATGGGATGGAACGCAAGTGTGTTCACGGGATATACGACGTCAACATCATCAGCTGTCTGTCGATGGCACTTGAAAGCATATTTCCGTGCTTGCGACTCAGCAGACGGATCGAACCACTCGACTGCGACTCGTCCCTCAATGCTCGAGGATGCATAGCCGGCGTCATCGGGCATGCACGCGACACAGCGGGTCATGAATTTGAGACTGCTCTCTCGTCGCTGCCACGGTTCGATCTCAATCTTGTTCGGAGGTGTGGCGTCTGACTGGTCTGTGAGAAGCGCCAATGCTTTCAGGTCGTAAATGTGGAGGGAGCGCGACGCCATAGCAACAACAAGTTTCGTGGCGGTGAGAGACATGGAGAAAGGCTTTGAAGGGAGAGGAATGATCGCGGGGATCGAGTCGGCTTCAGTATTCACACGGTGCACATGTAACGTCGAGTCCCACGACGCAGATATGACAATGTTATGCTCCTTGCTGTAGGCGACACACCGGACCCCAGCGTCGTGGCTGCTAAGCACTGTCTGTGTAGATGATGTGACATCAATCCTGCCATATATTAGATAAAGGAACAAGCGGCAGCCAGTCAAAGAAAAGCACCGAGCTGCGAGGAAAACTTACTTTCGGACATCCCAATCCAAACCAGCTGTGTAGATCACATCCTCGTTCTCGCCAAAACACGCGTCGAGCACAGGCGCACGATGTTCAAACTTTTGTAAAAGCTTTCCTTCGCCGACATTCCCATTCTCGTCCCGCAGGTCGTAAAGATAGACGTTCTTATCCCATGACGAAACGACAATTCGAGTTGAATTCGGATCTGGCGAGAACTTCAAAGCGGAGATGGCGTCTGTTGGCGGATTTGCGACGGTGAATTGATCTAGATTGCGGTCAGTATTAGCATGTATAGCGGTTCATAATGAGCTTACTTGATGCCATATTGTGCTTAAATCCTTCTGAGAAGTGACCGTTTCAGTCCCAGACTACATCGATATTGTTGATCGCCCAGCGTCATTGAAGCTTTGCGCTTTAGGTCGTTGTTCTGCCCGCTTATACCGCCTTGGACATATTTCCCTCCCCGCCATCGCCGCAATCTTAGACCATCTAGAATTGCCTTCCTTGCCCACACCTCTCTCGCTGGAAGCTCAAAATGCCTTTTGCGCAGCTGGTAATAGGACCCCCGGGCGCGGGGAAGTCAACATACTGCAACGGTATGCATCAGTTTCTGGGAGCTATTGGCCGGAAGTGCTCTATCGTGAATCTGGACCCCGCAAATGACAAGACATCGTATCCGTGTGCGCTGGACGTTCGCGACCTCGTCACTCTCGAGGAGATTATGAGTGAGGATCAACTAGGTCCTAATGGTGGTGTCTTGTACGCACTGGAGGAACTGGAGGAGAACTTTGAATGGTTGGAGGAGGGGCTAAAAGACCTCGGAGGTAGGCCCTGACCTATCCTTGAGTTTACTGCTATACGACCTAGAGCACAAAAGTTGATACTCATTTGAATAGAGGATTATGTTCTATTTGATTGTCCGGGCCAGGTTGAAATCTTCACCCACCATTCGTCGTTACGGAATATTTTCTTCAAAATACAAAAATTGGGCTATAGAGTCAGTCCATCTTTTATCTCAGCACAGGCTTTCCTGCTGACATCGAATACTACAGCTAATCGTAATACATCTCATTGACTCATACAACCTCACATTACCGTCGATGTATATATCCGCTCTACTTCTCTCCCTCCGCGCCATGCTCCAGATGGATCTCCCTCACATCAACGTCCTTACTAAAGTCGATAACCTTTCAAACTACGCCCCGCTACCCTTCAACCTCGATTTCTACACGGAAGTCCAAGATCTTTCATATCTCCTTCCACACCTAGAGGCTGAGTCATCACGATTATCACATACAAAATTTGGCGCCCTCAACAATGCCATAATTGACCTGGTAGAAGAATTCGGGCTCGTGGCATTCGAGACACTGGCCGTGGAAGACAAGAAGAGCATGATGAATTTACTACGAGTTATTGATAGGGCAAGTGGATATGCTTTCGGGCCAGCCGAGGGCGCAAATGACACTATCTGGCAGGTGGCTGTTCGGGAAGGACTAGGGACCATGGATATCCGAGACGTCCAGGAACGGTGGCTTGACGCGAAGGATGAGTACGACGCACAGGAGCGCAGTGAGCTCGAGGCCGAGGCAAAAGCCAGGGAGCAGGCCGCACAGTCGCCGCCGGGAGAGGGCGATGAACTCGATACCGACCTGGCCAAGTTTAGAGGCTCGCTGCCCGACAGCGGCGTAAAAGTTATACGAAAGTCATGACTTTATGGTCTATCTGTACGTGTATTATAGGGTATCTCTAATGAACAAACAATCTAACCAACACAAACTCCTGATGATGCCACGAGAAAACACACATCGCCCGTTCTGTAGAACCCGGTCAATCCTCATCATCATCACTCTCCATATCCACATCGTCCTCATCCATCACATCTCGCACAGAAGCAGTAGCCAACCCACTACCAGCCGCAGTCTCCCGGCCCTCCAACCCTCCAACCAACCCTTCCAAAACCCCCATCTCATCCGCCCCCGTCAACCGCGAGATCTCCCTGCGCGCCCGCCGAATCGCCTCCTCCTCCACCTTCTTCATCGTCCCCGACACCTTCACAACACGAAATACACACGAGCGCATCTTCCCCCCAGCCGCAGGAGCGCCTTTCTTCATTCCACCATTATTAAAATCCGGTACTTGCGACATATACGTAAGAGCCGTCCAGACGAGACGGAACGATGCGCGCGGACATCGGATGATAGCCGTCGACGTGGCAGGCGACAAATACTTGACTATCCACTCATGTCAAAAACCCGAACACAAATCAAGGAAACACAGGGAGTTACGAAAAACGCACCACTAACACCCCCCAGCCGACCAACACCCCAGTCCCCGAAAATCTCCGCGACTTCCTCCCTCACCATCTTCGCGAGTAAGGCCGGGGTCAGCGCATCGGAGGTGGGCGAGTGGATCCGGAGCTGAGCGTCAGTCTGCGATGGCAATTTAGTTTTGATGGTCGAGGAGGTGGGCCAGGAGGAGGGTTCTGGGTAGAGGATGTCGAGGAGGAGGTAGCGATGTTTGACGCGGACCATCTCGGTTTGTCTCTATTGATGTTTCTTGGATCCCTAGTTCTTCGAGTATGCGTACTGTCTTTCGTTACAGTAATCGGAAGGGAAGCCTTATGCTGAGCTCGAATGTTGGGAAATTCTGAAATTGTAGTCGGTATTTCAATTCTTGCGACTGTCGCGATATCGATAAACTTTTGATATCAGGAGCTCGGACCAATTACTGGTGGGGAAGTTTAGATCCCAACTAGTAGAGTATCAACATTGCTATTTTACAGTCCCAGCGTCTCGATATAGATATTTTACAATAATCGAATTTATTCCTCTCAATGTATACCCTGCTTCACATCACAGAGAGGAGAAATCCATCTCTATGCAACTGCCGAGCAAAGAGCTATCTGTACCGCCTAGGGCTGCGACTTCACGAGCCCCATCGGTTTGAAGCCATTATTGCCAATCTGGAGAGAGCAATGGTAATTTCACAATGGCGTAAGATAATCAGGCATACTGTAGTACGTGGAAAGCAACGCTGGCCAGAAATCTGGGCAGTGAATTTCATCAGAGGTTCTGTATGCCTAGTTGTATGTTCTGTATCAATTCTTGCGTTGAATTCATTAGCCTATCAGCTAGTCATGCCACATATGCGCAATACACAATGTAATGTCGAAAAATAGTGAAAGTCAAGAAGAATCGGAACCAAATGCAAAATACAGGCCATCATAACTCCAACGTCGACGTGACGGATTTTATGAGTCAAACCGCAAATTCCACAGAATCATCCAGTGGGCTGCCACGGGTCTGTTCGGCAATGACAAGAGAAAAAGGAAAAGGGGGAAATATTAAGAGAGATAATAGAAAGTTTAAAAGTTAACCTCAACACGACCCTCGGCACCACCCTTCTGCAAAGTGGGGAGCAGGTAGGTGATGTCATCCCAAGGGTGTCTGTAAAGACCAGTGCGCAGTCTCTTCTGGTCGAGGTAGTGAGCAATAAGACCAATGCTGCGGCCAAGGACAAAGAGACCGTTGAGGACTCCCATCTTCATGTAGTCCTCAACTTCCTCAGGCGAAAAAGCACCGCAGTTGCGCATCAGGTCAACGAAGCAGACAGCAACACAACCATCGACGTTCAGAATGAGATTGTCCTTCTTGGAGGTGGTGACGGTCTCGACAGCGATGGCATAGTCGAGGAGCTTGGTGCTGGGGAAGTGCTTCTTGGCAAACTCCTTGACCAACTCTACACGTAGGTCAGGGTTGTTCCGGGACTTGACTCTGTGGCCAATACCAGGGACTATGCAACGGTCAGCATTTGCTCGACAGACGTTCGTTATCAGGAAAGGTCACTTACTCAGCTTGTTCTCCTTTCTCATGGTGTCAACAAAGTCACGGGGGCTCATGCCCTTGTCGAAGGCCTTGGCAAACTCCTCAGCAGCACCGTCAAGAGCACCACCGAAGCGAGATCCGATTGTCAGGAGACCAGAGACAAGGGCACTGATCAGATCCTTGCCCGCGCGGGTAGTGATAATGGTGTTCATAGCACCAGACACGGCCGGACCGTGGTCAGCAGTGAGCATGAGAACCATCTCCAAAAACTTGCTGGCATAGCGGGGCAGACGGCGACGGAACCACAGAAGGGACATGACACCACCGATGCCAATGTCCTCTCTGAAGACGTCCGAAATGGGCATTCCGGCGTACAGGAGCTCCTGGCCACGGTCGTCGGTGATAGTGGAAATGAAGGCAGCGGGCTTACGGATGAGACCCAACTCCTGGGCCCAGGAGTAGTCGATGGGGATCTTGGGAACCTGAGGTTCGGGCTGGGGCTTGATGATACCCTTTTTGACCTGATCCTCGTACACCTGCTTGAGGAGCTGAGGAAGCTCCTCGAATGTGTCGGGAACGTGGATACCGGCCTCCCTCATGGCCTTGTTCTTGTACACAGCGGTCTCGAGCTGGGAGTTAGCCGAGGCACCAGCGTGACCGAACTGAACCTCAGTCTTGAACATGCTGGCGCAGGTACCAATGGCCCAGGCGACGAGAGGCTTGGTAATGGTACCGTTCTTCACTGCTTCAATAACACGGTACTCCTCAACACCACCAACCTCACCGAGCAAGAGGAGGATCTTGCAATCAGGATCGGCCTGGTAACGCAAGAGGTGGTCGATAAAAGTGGTACCGGGGTAGCGGTCACCACCAATGGCGATACCCTCATGGACACCATCGGTGGTCTGAGAGATGATGTTGTTCAATTCGTTGGACATACCACCAGACTTGGAAACGTAGCCGACGGAACCCTTGCGGTAGAGCTTGGAAGCAACAATGTTGTCCATCATACCGCCGGTGTTACCGATCTTGAAAGCACCAGGCTTGATACCACCAACGGTAGCAGGACCAATAATGGTGATACCCTTCTCCTTGGCAGTAACCATGATCTCACGAGCACGCTGTTGCCATCGTTAGCCTCTTTAGTCTATGCGGGTAAATGTAAGCGAGACATACTCTCTCCGGAACACCCTCGGCGATGATGGCGATGGACTTAATCTGGGGACACTGCATCAACTCCATGGTGGAGCTGTAGACGGAACGAGACGAGGCGAAGTTCACAACGGTGTCAACGTCAGGGTGCTTGGCCATGGCCTTGGCGACATCCTGGTAGACAGGAAGGAGAGTCTCGCTGGTACCCCAGTACCTACGATCCCAGAGTCAGCAGCTGTTGATGGAAATACTGTGGCAGATGAAGGGACTCTTCATACATCTTGCTGACGAACTGGCCACCAAAAGTGTAGATGATACCAGCAACCGAAGGTGTGCTACGCTTGCAAATGAAGTCGAAGTCGAGCATGCCTTGCACGGCTCTGGGCTGCATACCGCTGTGATAACCATCAGCCCCGGCCATTGACCCTGTCTGCGGCCAGGAAACACTTACTATACGAAGCATCTCGTCTTGTTGTGGAAGAGAGTGTGAGTGAGAGGAGAGAGCACTCGGCTAGGAGGCTCGAAGCGAGTGATGTTGTCGTTGGCGTTGAGATTGCCATTGGCGGTGCCGGCAAGAGGAGCAGAGGAGGGCATGATGGCTGAGTACTCTGTTTCTCAAAGAATTGATCAGCACCAGTCAGGAAAAAGCAGCGGGATGCAAGGCAGGGGAGCTCAGAAAAGCACGGAGATGACGCTTTCGAGCTCGTTCAAGGAAGCTTGGAATGGCGACGTACCCGTCAACAGAGCTTCTTGAGATTGGCTTTAAACGGGACGGAAGGTATTATTAAGTAGGTAGATACAAGTTGAGGATATAGAAGGAATGAGTCGCTTCGACGGTCAAATGCAACTCAGAAGGAACAAGAGCCACCAAGGATGAGCACAAGGAAGGAAGAGGGGGATGAGGAGAATGATGAAGAAGAGCCAGAAGACGGGAAGGATTGGGATCCAAGGGGATTATGGGGGGGTGGTTTATTCTGAAGATGGAAAAAAGACGGGATCAAGAAAAAAATGAACCGAACGTCGTAAAAAATAACAATAACTGATTTAAAATAAAATAACTGAATTATCTGACGAGGGGGTTTCAACGATATCGGGGAGTTGAGGGGGAGCTTACTTTTCCGGACGATACCGTATCGGTACAATACCGCGACAAGCTGCTCTCGGTGGTTCCTTGATGGGTCGAAGACTGGACCAGTTGGGAACTAGGGAATGTAACTGCGTTGCAATTATTGAGCCTAAAAATAATTGATTAACTTTGCAGAACTGTATCTGCTGATTCTGGAGTGGCAACTAATTCTAGACACTCTCAACAAGATGTGAGGTGTGACTACACAGAAGATACCGTGCATCGTAAAGTGTGGAGTACCTCGAAGATCACCTCCAGTGTAAGTGCTCCGTACATGAAGTCTGGTTGCAAGTTACTACATATCAATCTCAACACCGAACTTCTTTTACGATCTCCTCGGGTGAATGAACGTGTTAGAAACTCCTCCTTTCCAGTCATGGTCATGCGTGGAATATCCCTCATCTCGGGAGTCAAGCAGAATCGTGTATGCCTAACAAGATGGAGCCGGACTGCGGAGTACTCGGTAGATTCTGTACCTGGATGTCGAACGGGCAAAAGAACGCTGCAGAGGAAACCAGTAACTCCGTACTCCGTAGTCTGTACCTTAGCTTGGTTGGGGCTAAGCGGTGGATCCTCTCGTACTAATGCGGACCCAGCAAACAGGAGAGCCCCTCGACCCTAACTCCAACCGCCGGACGCTAGTGATCTGCTCACCGAAAGATCAGTGTTGTCATCATGGACTGTCTATCTAGGTAGTACTTGTGATATTCAGTCTCCTTGATTATAGGTTTGAGAGGGGTTGTATACATGTGCCTTTCTGTTAAGTCTACATGGTAAATAGATTATTGATACGTGTACTATATGTGTACTCCATGTATGAATGGATCCTATCAACGATCTGATAGGCAATTGACGACATCAAGACGGTCTCGGGGATGACTCCGGGTTCGCGCAGCAACTCGCAGACAGTTTACGAACTTGAAATATTCGGTAGCATGTTCATAATCCAACAAAAAAAGGACACGAAGCGCAAATGACCCGAGAGTTGCCGTCTGGTGTCTGATCCCTCCTTTTGCTGGAATTCAGTATTGAGGCTACAGCGTAGGGTGTGTCCTGCCTCTAAATACCCGTGCCGAGTATCCCCAACGGAAGCTCTAAACCCCCTGGAGACGGTGGGAGCTAAATTTGATCGGTCCGCGGATGACACCTGGAACTTCTTTTTGGCTGTTAGTGTCCCTTTTAGTGCGAGAGATAGCAGGACCCACCCTCCTTCTTCCCCACTACATCTCAACAACTCGGGGGGTCTAAGCCTGCTATGCTGTATCGTACTCTGTATCTCTGAGTCTGGTCCCTCTCCAAATCTAGTCATTTCCGAGTTCGGCCTCAATACCGTACCTGACTCTCTGTAATTTTGAATCAGCTCCCCCCAAAGAAAAAATTGCCTGTGTTTTCCCCTCCCAAAGTCCTTTCGGACATTTACTGGATTGTT